TGCGCCATGTTGCTGATTTTCATCCAAAATTGTTTAAGCGTTTGAACCCTTAAAGAAATTACTCCCACGAAAATGTCTAGCGCTGATAAGGTATACGTTATNCCCCCCAATTCTAGTATAGCATCTGCATTCTAAAAATAATTTTTGATAAAAAAACAAACACCAATCCGTTTTACTTCATTCAGACTATCGATAATTAATGACTATTTTTAATCAATTACCGTACTGAAATGTAGATTCTCAAAATTACGACTGACCAAACTGAAAGAACTAACAATAAGAGTACTTTAGGCATTAACGAGTTATTCTATTTTCGCAGAGAACCCACCATCAAACTTCACTTGCACGTTATCACCAACTACTTCTTCGGAAGCAAGAGGAATTAGAGAAAGAAAAAGAGTCAAAGGCGTCCACGATCATCGAAAGATTTTTGCCGAAATCACTGAAGAACATCTATTCGACGATTGTCCCCTATCTGCAAATGACAACCGCTCCACCCATGAAAACCTCAAAATCGCCTTTTCGAGGAAGACTAACCTTCAAGTGGACATCAAAGAAACCGAAAAGCATGGTGACCAAGACGGAGACGACGACTGCAAGCCCAAGGTTACTTTAGAAGAATATCCGAACAAGAAGTGCTCATAAAAAAACCCGGTCCCTTTAGAAATGTCGAATCGACGACAATTTGGGAAACTTCTTGTTGCAAGACTTCAACATCGGATACTGTCATTTCTACTTCTTCCAAGCCGTTTTCCTTCTTGGAATACTTCTGGGTGGGCAAGCATGAATTGTGTATGAATGATCCCCAGCATGCATCCTAGTTCTTAGCTTCTCCTTTGTTTTTCCCTACTTCGTTTCTTTTTGGAGGCTTCCAAGACAAGACGTTTCCTGGCCGCAGTCTGCCAGGTTCAAAACGAAAACAAAAAGGCCTATTGTTACAATACTCCTGCAGAGGTGGTGTGGTCGTAAATGGTGCGCAATCCCACACGCATGGTCATGGGTACGTATCCCGGCTTGACAACCGCTTGGCCAATCGAACCTCCAATTCGTCCAGCTTCGGTTGATCAGTACTAGGCACGTTTGGGAGGATAAAGGCACTGGCTTGCACATCTGGAAAACTCCAATAATTTTTGGGAAGCTTCCTCGCAATCGAATTCCATTCAGAATTGGTGTCAGCTGCGTATGTGGCATAGGTCTGGTTGGTGAGTCAGTGCTTTCATCCTCTTACAGCTAGACGAGGCTGGTACCAGCCAATGAGCCTAGAAGGATGGGAGACTTGATTGGTTTGAAGGTCCGGGATTCGAACCTGGGACCTTGACCTGATGATGCGACACTGTACCTCCTCGCCCCTTGGAGGAGATAGCTTAATGCGGAAGCAATAAATATGAGAAAGGCGGCTGGATTATGTAGTATTACGACCGATAAGCTCACTTTTCTAGCTAGCTCTCTCGCGCATCCTCCCTTTCTCCTCTACTATGTAGTGCAGTTGCCTGAAGGTAGCGGGAGAATTTATAAGGCTGGGAATGGGAAGGTGTTAGTGCAGTAGCGAAAAAGTACAGAAGATCATTGCAGCCAGTGCCATTGAAACTTGTTTGGAAGGGTAGAACCACCCTCACTGCGACTTCTAATGTTTTAAATGAGAATCAGCCCCAAAAGCCTCGTTATGGCTGATATTTAGCTTTTAAATACCTTCCCAGTCCATGTCCTCAGTAACCACGCCTGTGTATCGATTATCCCTACTAACTCGAAATGTCAGACGTAGCTTTAACACCTAGAATGGCTAACAGAAATGTTTTGAAGTAGTCGTAACAAGTAGGACAGTTGTGGGACAATTCGAAGTTGAAGTGTTGAGTGAAGCTGACATTGTATCGTGTTCCAGCCAAATGCTGAACTGTTAGCCGCAATCAAGGACGTTGTAGCCAAATTCAAAGCATCCCTGGATGAAACTGGACTTGATCAAGACGTTCGACTCATGGGCAATCAACTGAGGAACACATGGCAGCAATTGAGGACAGGTAGGTCGAGAAAAGAAACTTTCCCATGTAAAACTCTTGGATGGTGGCGTGGAATTTCCTTCCTGTAAACCCTGCTTTACACTCCTCACTATAGCACTTTCGGATTAGCATGGATCCTCTAGAAATTCGTATGGGATTTCAAGTGAGGGAATTCCAACCATTCAGGAGTCGATCGTGGATTTCGAGCCATAAAACAGAGTGCAGAGAGCTCTCTAGCGGAAGCAAATTTAGGTAGGTCTAAGAGGATAATGTGGAATCTTGACCAGTAGGAGCTCAATTCATACCCTTCCAAGTAATAGTAACATGGTCCATGATCTTCTCGGGAAGAATGCGCCATGTTGCTGATTTTCATCCAAAATTGTTTAAGTGTTTGAACCCTTAAAGAAATTACACCCACGAAAATGTCTAGCGCTGATAAGGTATACGTTATTATACATGTGACCGTAAGACCGATTCACCCCTCCGAGGTTGCTCAATTCGCTCCACCTTGGTCTGGGTAAGCTGAACCGCTCTTTCAGAAAAGGCTTGTCCTTAACAGACGTAGTACAGGAGCGGACAGTGACACATCCTAACCCCACCAAAACCAGAGAAGGGACGGACAGTGAATGAGCATTACAAAAAATGAGCTCTGAGACATAATCCTCTTGTATCTTGAACTTGTAACAAATCAACTTCTAGCCAGCTTTTTCGTCATAGATGACGACCGCGACTCCATCTAACCGACATTATTGACCGAGTTGAATGTTTTGATTGAAATTCATCTCCACATATATTCTTAGAAAAATGTGAAAAAAATCCTAACAGGAAAATCCTTACAGCCATATTTGGAGATTGATAATAGAATAACTAAAATCAAACGAAACTGTCGAGACAGAATTGTTGACTAGCTGTACATATTTGACAATCTTAGGACCAATGAACGAACAATTGGGGCGACTGTTCGACAAAGCCGCTGACGACGGGAATCAAGCCCAGTTGAACAGAGCACAATAGAAGCTTAAAACTTCAGGTACAGACTAGACAGAACCCTATGATAAATCTTTAATGCACAGTAAATACCATCGAATAAGTATTTTCAGGTTCATTCCACTCGTCTTGGCGACGAATAATTGTACGTACGTTGTGGTACGGCTAAACCTATTGATATATTGTTAGTTACCAAAAATAAATCAGAAATCACTGAGTTGTTTTGTCTTGATGTTTTTGTTTACAATTATTCCGTCGCAGTACGCGATAATGATAGTGATGAACCAGCTTGAGAATAGAAGGCTCACGCGATCGTCGAGTTGTGAGAGTAAGTCAAGTTCTGCCCATATGCCCGAAAGCACAAGTACTGGGATAGAGTTTCGTCCGAGGTTGAACTTTGGCTCATAAACTGCCAGTTTTGTGAATTTTGAGTTGCTGGTCNTTTTTGTTTACAATTATTCCGTCGCAGTACGCGATAATGATAGTGATGAACCAGCTTGAGAATAGAAGGCTCACGCGATTGTCGAGTTGTGAAAGTAAGTCAAGTTCTGCCCATATGCCCGAAAGCACAAGTACTGGGATAGAGTTTCGTCCGAGGTTGAACTTTGGCTCATAAACTGCCAGTTTTGTGAATTTTGAGTTGCTGGTCATTTTTGAACAGTGCCTGGGTTCCGCATATGCTGGATAACTCTTACAGAATCTTGTAGAATCTCATAAACGTCCCCAATCCGCAGTATTCCTCGAAGGGTGTATACTCAACTCTCGCTGATGGAGCGTAAGCCGTATCATTTGCTGCCCTTGAAGGGGAGATGATTGAGTGAAAGCAGAAGCTTGTCTCCTGTGCCCCTCAAACCTGACATCAAACAATTACGTATCTCCACGAGAAAGTGGTCAGAAGAGGCTGACTTGAACTGGAATTTGTGCATGCCTACCAAGATGTTGAGGAAGCCAACACACTATCAAGGCATCATGCACCATCACCTAGCTCCGGTCCTCAAGAAACTGTTCTTTCAGGAGATTAAGAAGGGTCATTCAGAAAGTATCTGCAGAAAATTCTAGAGTACTCCAAATTTTCCAATAAATTCTGAACCTGGAACTTTCAATGACGCTGCTATGCTGTGTCAGTACCTAGCTATGAGGGAAGATCTTGCCAGATGACACGCCAATATGGGAGCTCCTCCTGATGTTCCCAACAAGTGATGTGACTTTATTGAAATGGACAGCGTAAAGTTCAAATCCGAGCATTATCACGAACTTGGGGGAGGATATTGGCTTACGGACCATATGCAAACAATCGATTGTTCAACATTGACTCACTTTTCACTACGAATCCTATACTATCGTTCTCTCCTACCCCCC